ATTGATTGATTGATTTGAGAGAGTGAGAATGAGAGAGAGAGAGTACATGAGAGGGGGGAGGGTCAGAAGGAGAAACAGACTCCCCGCTGAGCAGGGAGCCCGATGCGGGACTCGATCCCGGGACTCCAGGATCATGACCTGAGCCGAAGGCAGTCGCTTAACCAACTGAGCCACCCAGGTGCCCAAGATGATACATTTTAACTGCTTTAAAATTACCGTCACCCTTGAACGAGCGTGTAGTCTCAACCTTGTAAACTTTAGGAGGTGGCACCGACAGTTTGAAGATGCACCTGGCCGATTTGTGAGTGGCCTAGAGGGGCGGTTTAAGGGAAGGGAGGGAGTTGGGGTGACCGGGTTTAGTGTAAGTATCTGGGCAGGTGGGGCACCGGTTACAGAGGGAATGAGATCGGGGGTTGGTGGAAGTTGGAGGTGGGTATGGAGAAACTTTCTGGAAAAATCTCCTTAGAAGAAAAAATGCTTTGATCTTAAAAGTCTCAGTGTAGGGGCAGCCTTTAAGTGCACTCACTGGACGGCCTTTGGTGACTCTGAAGATTTTTACTCGTAGAAGCTTAGCAATCTTTTCAGTTGTTTACCCGTGACTGTCACCGTCTGTTTGCCTCCCTTAACGTACCACGCATCAGGTACCGTAATTCGTTATGAGGAACTGTGTTTGAAGATGACGAAGCTAAAGTACAGACCTAAAACAACTAAGGTCACCTAGCTAGAAATACAGTAAGTTCTCTTCCTGTGTATTTATATTGTATGAAAAGTCAGCCCAATCCAGTAGATGCTTTGTGGCTTCAAAACAAACAGCACCAGCTCCCTGGTCCTTGTGAAATGCCTGCTACCCAGAACCTTCTCCTGATCATCAGGGCCTTCCTCCAGGGAGGGCACAGTCCTGTGGACCCTCTGAGAAAAGCGAGTTTGAGAGCGATGTCATTGAAAAACCCTTGGAACCCTCTTGGAATATATTTATGGTGACTCTTTTTCTTCACCAAACATTTTGAACAGGATCAGATATTGGTAGCCCATTTGCAGTAGGGATTGCTCTGGAAAGCCCATTCAGTTCTAGAATGCTTATTCAATTCCCTGGTGATGGAACTGGGAGAGTCTGTTTGCAGGATTTAGTCCCTGGAGTGAGTGGACTCTGGGTAGTTTCCTCCCAGGGAATGACCCCTCATACCAGATGGCTCAGACTGACATTTTCCCCTTGAGTTGCAGCTTGGCATTCTAGAACATTGTCCAAAACCCAGGGCCTCAGGTCCTGGCCAGTTTTACAGGGGATGTGGGAGGACTTGCTCTTAAAGATCAACTTCACTTCCTGATCAAGACCCTGAAATCCCCTTTAATCTATATGATGTGTGACTTTGGGAGCAAGAGAAATCAACTCCAGGCAGCTTAAAAGAAAGAAATTCATTCCATGAACCCAGCAGTCCCGAGGCCAGAAAGCAGCCAGACTCCTGGAAGGGACTAGCACCAGACTGGAACATCGCCCAGAATCTTGGAAGGCACTTTTTTCCACCTCCTGTGCTTTTTCTCCTGGCGTCTGCTTCCCTCCTATTTCCTAGTGGTTAGACTTCCCTGCTTTCCAGTGATAGCAGGGGCCAGCCCCCAGAGCGGTCAGGTTTCCATGGTGTTAGCTCAGATGCACGGAAGAGAACAGATTCTTTCTCAGTCCCACCCCACCCTCTGGAGAAATGTCTGCTGGGTCTGCACTGTGCTCTCTCCTGAACCAGAGTCAGGTCAGGGCTTGGTGGTTCAAACATGGTTGTCGTAGGGGGGTGGGGGTGGGGGTGCAGATTTGGAGAGGAATAGCCAAAAAGTACTCCTCCAAGTTTGGTCCCGAGCAGACTCTGCTCAGAACAGTGAGGGTGGGAGTGTTACTGGGCCCCAGCAAGGAGGTCCGTTGGGTCTATGGGTGCTTGCCATTTGGTCATAGTCCCCTTGGATCTATGAGAATTGTCATTAGTTTATACTCAGTACACTTTCCACTTTTTACTTGACAAGCTGCTCCTTCTCCATTCCATGTAGGCCTGAGAGAAATCATACAGTATTTGTCCTTTTGTGGTTGGTTTATTATTATTATTACATTATTTTATCATATTATTTTAAGTAGGCTCCATGCGCAGGGTCTAACTCACGACTCTGAGATCAAGACCTGAGCTGAGATCAAGAGTTGGAGGGCGCCTGGGTGGCTCAGTTGGTTAAGCAACTGCCTTCGGCTCAGGTCATGATCCTGGAGTCCCTGGATCGAGTCCCACATTGGGCTCCCTGCTCGGCAGGGAGTCTGCTTCTCCCTCTGACCCTCCTCCCTCTCATGCTCTCTGTCTCTCATTGTCTCTCTCGCAAATAAATAAAAAAAAAAACTTAAAAAAAAAAAAAGAGTTGGACACCCAGGCGCCCTTATGGTTGACTTATTTTACTCAGCGTAATGTCCGATAGGTTTATTCACGTAGCCTGTGTCTGATACTTCTTCCTTTTTTAGGCTGGATAATATTCCATTGAATGGATCCACCGCATTTTGCTTAATCATTCATCTGTTGATGGACACTTGAGTTGCCTCTACATTTTGGCTCTTGTGAATAATGTTGCTAGGAACATGGGTGTACAAGATCTTCAAGGTCTTGTTTTCGATTCTTTTGGGTGTATACACAGAAGTGGGATTGTGGAGCACCTGGGTGGCTCAATTGGTTAAGGGTCTGCCTTTGGCTCAGGTCATGGTCCTGGAGTCCTGGGATCGAGCCCCACGTGGGGCTCCTTGCTCAGCGGGGAGTCTGCTTCTCCCTCTCCCTCTACTTGCTGCTCCCCATGCTTATGCTCTCCCTCTCGCTCTCCCTCTCTCAAATAAATAAATAAATAAATAAATAGATAGATAGATAGATAAATAAAAATCTTAAAAAAAAAGCGGGATTGCTGGATCATATGGTAATTCTACATTTAATTTTTTGAAGAACCACCATACTGTTTTCCACAGTAACTGCGTGCACTGTTTTATATTCCCTCTAGCAGTTCAGAAGTATTTCACTTTCTCCACATCCTCACCATTTTATTTTCTGTTTTTTTTTGTTTTTGTTTTTGTATAGTGGTATTCTTATGAGTTTGAGGTGGTATCTCATTGTGGTTTTATTTTTCATTTCCCTCATGATCAGCGATGTTGAGCATTTTCACATGTACTTATTGGCCATTTGTTTATCTTCTTTGGAGATTTCTATTGAATTTCTACTTGAATATGCCTACTCACATCCATTACCCATTTTTGAACTGGGTGGTTTATTTTTTGTTGTTGAGTTATAGGAGTTGTTTGTATATTCTGGATATTAACTCTTTATCACACATATGATTTGCAAATGTTTTCTCCCATTGCATGGGTTTCCTCTTCACTCTATTGATTGCATCCTTTGATGTACAGAAGTTTTAAATTTTGATGTAGTGTAATTTATCTATTTTTGTTTTGTTGTCTGTGCTTTTATAGTAATATCTAAGAAATCGTTGCCAAATCAAATGTCATAAAGCTTCCCCCCTATGTTTTCTTCTAAGAGTTTTATAGTCCAGCCCTTATGTTTAATTCTTTGATCCATTTTGAGTTCATTTTTGTATGTGGTGTGGGGTAAGGGTCCAATTTCATTCTTTTGTGTGAGGAGATCCAGTTTTCCCAGCACCATTTATTGAAAAGACTGTCCTTTCCCCACTGAATGGTCTTGGCACTCTTGTCAAAAATCATTTGACTACATCTGTGAGAGTTTATTTCTGGGCTGTCTATCCTATTCCTTTGGCTTATATGTCTGTCTTTATGCCAGTATTACACGGTTTTGATTACTTTAGCTTTGTAAAAAGTTTTGAAATCAGGAAGTGTGAGTCTTCCAACTTTATTCTTCATCTTCAAGATTGTTTTGGTTATTTGGAATTCCTTGAGATACCATATGAATTTTAGGATGGATTTTTCTATTTCCATAAAAAACACCATTTGGATTTTAATAGGATTGCACTGAATCTGTCATTTGGCGGTGGGGGGGGGTGTCGTACTGACATCTGAACAATACTGAGTCTTCCAGCCCATGAATACAGAATGTCTCTCCATCAGTTTGTGTCTTCTTTACTTTCTTTCAGCAAAATTTTGTAGGTGGCAATGCACAAGTCTTTTGCCTTTTTGGTTAAACTAGCTTCTATGTATTTTATTCTTTTTGATGCAATTGCAAATGGAACTGTTTTCACAATCTTTTTCAGACAGTTAGTTGTTGGTATACTAGAAATGCAACTGATTTTTTGCACGTTGATTTTGTATCCTGCAACTTTTCTGATTTCCTTTATTAGTAGTTCTAACATGTCTTTTGTGTGTGTTTGTGGAACCTTTTAGGTTATCCGTATATGAAGTTATATCATCTGTGAACAGAGATAAGCCTTTTGTTTCTTTTTCTTGCCTAATTGCTCTGGCTAGACTCAGTACTATGTAGAATAGAAGTGGTGACATCCTCTCCTTTTAGGACTCCACTGACACAAAGTTTAGATCTTTTGTTATTGTCCCACAGGTCCTGAGACTCTATTCCTTTTTTTTTTTTTTAAAGAAAAGTTTTGGGGCATCTGGCCAGCTCAGTTGGTAGAGTGTGTGACTCTTGATCTCGGAGTCATGACTTTGAGCCCCTTGCTGGGCATAGAGATTACTAAAAAAGAAAAAAAAAAGGAAATTACTTTCTCCTTGTTGTCCAAATTAGGTAATTTTATTAACTTTCTTCAAGCTTGCTAATCCTTCCCTCTGTATTTTCCACTTGCTGTTGAGCTCATCCAGTATTATTTTTGTTTTGTATCTTTAATTTTAATTATTGTATCTTTAATTTCTAAAATTTCCATTTGGTTCTCTTTTTATATTTTTCATGTTTTTGCTGAGATTTGTTTACTTCTCCCATTTGCTTAAAGAGTGCTTGTGAGTCGGCCCTCAACGAGGAGGGAGGCCATCTGCTCTTAGAGAGCTAGAAGGAGTACCCGGCCGGTGCCCGCCTGCTCACCGAGATCCACGGGGGCGCCGGTGGGCCCAGCGGCGGGAGCGCCGAGGCCAGCAGGGCCCTGGCCAGTGGGGGTGAGGCCCGGGAGGGGCCAATGGTCCCATGGCCAAGAAGCACACGGGTGAGCGGGATAAGAAGCTGGTGGCCAAGAAAAAGACGGACAAGAAGCGGGCACTGCGGCGACGGTAGTGGGTTTTTCTCCCAGCTCTACCCCCTCCCCCTGGCCCCGACCCCCGACCCCCAACGCTGTCTCTAAGTTACTTAAATTATGGCTGGGGTGGGGGGAGGGTGCGGGGGCACTGGGACCTGGATTTGTTTTTCTAAATAAAGTTGGAAAAGCCAAAAAAAAAAAATAATAATAATAATAAAGAGAGTGCTTGTAATTGCTTGTTGGAGCATTTATCTAACTGCTTCAAAATCCTTGTCAGATAATTCCAACATCTGCGTAGTCTCAGTACTGCTATTTGCTGATTATGCTTTCTCATCTGAGTTGAGATTTTCTCGGCTCTTGTTATGAGTAATTTTGGATTATATCCTGGGCATTTCGAGTACAAGGTTATGAGATGCTCCCCTTCCTACATATCTATTTTAGCAGGCAGTCAAGCTATTTATATTAAGAACGCATGTCCTGGCCCACTTTTGTGGGCTATGTTTTAAATGTCAATTACTTTTCAAAGCCTTTGCAGTGCTTTTGTGGTCTGATGCTCACGAGCTACCCAGAGGCCAGCCTGAAGCCTGGGCAGGATTCCGCACCATCATCGAGCTCTCAAAGCTTTTGCTGTGTTGATCCTGGTCAGTTTGATAAATGGGATGTGTCCAGGACTGGATGCTTAAAACATCCCATTCTGCTATGAATTTGTGTCCTCTCCTCCTCCCCATCCCCCCAGATTCATATGTTGAAGCCCTAACCCCTCCTGTGATGGTTTTTGGAGAGGAGACCCTTGGGAAGTAATTAGATTTGGATAAGATCAGGAGGGTGAGGCCCTCATGATGGGATTACTGTCCTTATAAGAAGAGGCCCCAGAGAGCACTCCCCCCACAACCACCCCATGCCGTGTGAGGACGCTGTAAGAAGGTGGCAGTCTGCAAGGCAGGAAAGAGCCCTCACCAGAACTGACATGCTGGTGCTTTGATCTTCGACTCCCAGCCTCCAGCCTCCAGCCTCCAGGACGATGAGAAAATGGCCCTCGTGCTTCTCTCCCCCTTTCTTTCCACTCCCTGCTGCCAGGGCACCGAGGCCTTCTTGCCTCTCGGGAGGCATCTGCCGAAGCTCCTGGCTGGCCTTCCCACCTCTCCCCTCTTACCTTTAGGCATGGGGTAACCCTCCAGAACCGAGGCCATTGTGGCCCTCCCCTGCCAACACCCTTTGGTGGCTTCCTGTACCCTTGGGAGAAGCTCCAAGTGTCCCAGCCAAAGAGGCCCTGGGGGTTGATTTCTGCAGACTCAGCCTTCTGCTAACTCCCAATCTTGCATTGCTGAATGTATTCCCTTAGGGCCACCAGGACCCACCAGCTCTGAATCTCACCTTCACCTGGGTCACGTTTCCTTTACTAGCCTGTTCTTAAGAAGCCCTCCCTAGACCAGGATGGTGGGGCAGCTTTGCCTGCCATGGCTCCTGGTGCAAAAGTCCCTTACACTCAATGGCCTTGACCTTTCTGCTGTCTTCCTCAGACCATGGCCTCCAGGGCCAGCACTTCTGGGTTTCTCTGCTGCACTCTGGTTTTCTAGCACAGGGCCTGATGTGTGGCAAACGAGTCAATAAACGAAACTTCACCTGAATTTGGATCCCACTGTAGTTCATGATGGCAGGACTTTGCCTCCAAGAGTCCCTCGCCCGCAAGCCCTGACCGCTCTTCTTCCTCTATTTAATTCCTATTTTCTTCCTACTCAAAAGAAATGCGTCTTCCATCACAATGCTGTCGCCTGAACCCAGCTGGAATTTGTAGTTTATTAGTTGACTTGACTCCCACGTTGAATGAGAGACCGTGGCGGGAGGAAGGACTCTGAGCCCTGTTTGCTGGATCAGGTGACCATGGGACCTGGGGAAATGCTCTCCCAACCCTTCTCGCTTTCTGGTGGCTCCCATTGCCTTGAAGAAGCCTTCCGGGCTCCCTGGGGATGTGATGGAAGCACTGTCCCGCACACCAGGGCCCTTAGAGCACTAGATCACCACGCTGGCTGCTATCCAGAATTGCCCCTGCTTTGCTGCCTATGTGTCTTGGTGACATTGCTCTTGAGAGTGTACAGCCTACAGCCTTCAGATACTTTCCAACATGGTCTCTCGGAGCCCTTGCCCTGGCTGGAAACTGTTGCCAAGGCCCAGTTTCAGTTCGTGCTTTGGGAAGTAGCAACCTTCTACCAGGGACCCGAGCGACGGCTGGGGAGTGACCATGACATTTCAAAGTCCAGAACGTAGACGGCAAACACTTTGTTGGGGTGGCCAGATACACTTCAGCTGAGCTGACAGAGAGCTGGCCAGTGCAAGCGTATGGGGATTTAAAATAAAGCCACGAAACACGGAACGTGCACGTCCGTGGTGACCAGGCAACCAAGCTTTATTAAAATTATCCTGATCTGATCGAACGGTTCCAGGCAACCATGCTTTGAGGAAGCCAATTAAATTCACATGAAGGAGAAATAGCAGTAGATCAATTTCTTGGCAAAACCTTATTTTTACGACTATTTACAATACAGCTATTTCTGTAGATGGGTGCATTTCTCTTCTCATAAAAGGAAAATCAGAGAAAGGATCATGTGAAACTGTTTCTAGGCGAGATGTGGGAAGACACTGGTGGGCAATGTTTGAAGTGTGACCACGAAGAGCAGCCCCCCACCCCCAGAGTGTGCTTAGAATTTAAAATACGTAGATTTTAAAATTAGGAGGTAATTATATGGAAATAAAGTATGCTGCATGGAGCTCTGGTATTAAATAATCTCATCTTTAGAGACACTTGGGCTAATGTCCTGGCCCCATGTGGAATAGGCTGACTTGGCTGATCATTCCTACTTGGCGCTGGGGAGGACGTGCAGGTAGATCTGTAACAGGTCGGGGGGAGTGTGACACCTCTCTGGCATAGCTCCAGGACTCAGGCATTTGCAATGACTTCTCCTGGTAGAGCCACCTCAGTGCTTTGAATCCTCTTGTGTCAGCGAAGCAAGAAGCTCCCGGCCCACATTTGCCCGCTTTTCGGGCTCATCTGGATTGTTCCGCAGCCTCAGCTTTGCTTCCAGTCTCTGCCTCCATTCCTCTCTGAGCCTGAAAATAGAAACCAAACAGCTAGCGGGGCAACCATGTCCATGGTGGTTGGTTTGGGGATGCTTCCTTCCCTTTTTTACCCCTGAAGGTGTGTGTGTGTGTGCATTCACTTTTTAAAAGGTATGCAGAGGACTAGAAATGTAAATATATGCATATTTTATATTTTATAGGTATATATTTAGCTCTCACTTCTGTTCAGCCTATTCTAGTCTTAATCCTTCAAACTTTTCCTTTGAGAGTGCAGTGTCTTTAAAGTATGGGGAGAGGGGCACCTGGCTGGCTCAGTTGGTGGAGCACGCAACCAACTCTTGATCTCGGGGTTGTGGGTTCGAGCCCCAAGGTGGGTGTAGAGCTTACTTAAAAGTGAAGGAAAAAAAAAAAAACCTTAAAAAAAAAAAGTACGGGGTGGGGGGAAACCTCTGTCCATCTAGAATTGTTTACTTGGCCAAGCTATCTTTCAAAAACAGAGGTGAAATAAAGATGCCCTCAGCCATACAAAAATGAAAGAATTTGTCACCAACAGCCTGTCCCTACAGGACAAGTTAAAGGAAATCCGTCAAGTGGAGGGAGAATGACACCAGTTGGAAATTGGGATCTGCACGATGGAGGGAAGGGCCCCTTAAAAGGTAATCAGTGTCTGAAAGCAAACCTGTTAATAATGCTGGGTGGGGTTTATGACATGTGTGGAAGCAGAAAGGCCAAAGGGGGAGGAGTGGTGTTCTGCCACTGGAAGCCTCTCATGCCCTACAGGGGACCATGCGGCACTAGAAGATGCACCATGACAGGGATCCTAAAGCAACCCCTCAAATAACACCAAGAGATGTCCTGGAAAAGCCAACAGAGGAGATGACATGAAATCATGACAAATATTTAATTAACCCCAAATAAGGCAGAAAAAGAAAAGAATGAAGAACAGATGAGAGACCAGGAGACAAATAGCAAGATGGCAGATTTAAACCCAACCGCACCAGTTAGCGTTAATGATATGAGCCACCCAATTAAAATGCACGATCATCAAATTGAATAAAAACCAGTACTGAAATAGATGTCACCTGCAGGAAAATCACTTTGGATATGAAGGTGGCAATAGGTTAAAATTAAAAGGGTTAGGAGTTAATGGGACACTTAGGGAGTTGGGGCCAGGGTCCCCCAACAAGAAAACAGGGAGCAGGACAGCTCAGACAAAACTGTCCTAGCGTCCTGTTTTACAGCTTCGACAAGACCACAACAGCATCCTGTGGAGCAGCCTCTGCAGGACTGACTTTTGCAAAACATCCTGAAACAAAACAATGAACCGTAAAACATTGGTTACTATCACGAGGTGAGGCAGTTCATCTCCAGATGGCAGCCCAAAAGACCAGCAACACGGGAACAATAACCTGAGACGTAGACCGGTGCATGATCAAAGCCCTGATTGGGGCACACCTTAGCGGCCAGTCCACAGGGGCCCACACTCAGGATGCTCAAGATAGTTCCTCGAAAGAGCTTACAAAACCCCCTAGATTTGAACGCCAAAAACCCTCTCGGGTCCCCTCCCTCTCCAAGAGCCTTGTGCTATATCGCTCAATAAACTTTGCTTTGCTACCCACCACTCTTCATCTGGTCTACCTCTTCATTCTTCGAAGCGCCATGACCAAGAACCTTGGGCACTAAGGGAACAAAAATCCTGTAGTAGCAAAGGATGGGAAAATATTCCATCTTAACCCCAATCAGAGAAAGCCGAATGGTTGTAGTAAAGTCAGACAAGGTAGACTTCAAAGGCAAGAACATTACCAAAGAGAAAGAGGGTCATTTTGCAATAAGGGGATCAATTTATCAAGAGGATATAACAATCCTAAACACGTGTATAAAAACAGAGCTTCACGATACATGGAGTGAAATGAGACAGAGCTATAAGGAGAAATAGACAAATCTGCAGTTACAGCTGAAGATTTCAACACCCACATTTCAGCCGTCGAGAGAACAGGCAAGACATCAGTCAGGCCATGGAACACTCGAACAACACTACTGACCACCCGCTTCAGTCTGATGGAGGGCAGGGACTCTCCAACAGCCTTCTCCTCTTAGTGTCCATGGTAAAAGTAACAAGGAGAAACCCAAGGCACAGGGAGATCTGCCAACTCACCCAGAGCGCAGGGGCTGGGCTGTTCCCTGGCATTCTGCCTCTGCTACATTCAATCCTGGACTAAGTGGCCGAGTGCAGGACGCAGGGGAACTGACCTTAGGCATGTTTTCCTGTCCCAGCCTCGGAACCACCTAATGACCTGGGACTGTCTTCTCCATCTGGTGCAGGGACTAGACAGAGTAGTGGGTAAGAGCAGAGACCCTCAGCGTGCCCTCACTTTCTGCATCCTCTTCAAGCAGTTCCACTGCATGGAGACCTTCTGTGTAACCCCTGGCGGACACATGCACATGCATGGCACACACACATATGCACAGTGTGGGCGGCATGCTGAGTGGCCTGACCTGGGGAAGGGAGAGGGCAGGGACCACAGAAATGACTGACCGTCCTTCCACCTCAGCTTCTCGGAGAATCCCTGGAGGACACTCCCTAACATGACCCTCCAGCAGCCAGGACAGCCTGCTTCTCCTCGCCTGGGGCCAGGAATATGGCCGAGCAGGTCTCCACGCGGAGAAGGGGCTGGTTCCCGTCTAGGGCTCAGGAGGGCATTTGGAAGGCAGCTGTGAGTTTCAGTGGTGTGAACGGGTGCATATCGTCAGCCCAGCAAGCATGTACCAGCAGCCTGGAGTCACGGCCCCTGCCGTCGGGCCAGCACACAGCTGCCCCACCATCCCGGCTCTGCCCTTTGCAGACAGCAGCCGAGCTGTTCCATGAGGGGACAGAGGACCCAGAGGGGCCGGTCCCTCACTGGCTCCCCGAAGCGGAGGCCGTGTGTGAGAGTGGTGAACTGCCTCTGTTCTCACAGCCACAGCAACCCCAGTTTGCCCAGTGCGTTACTGCCCTGCAGGGGGCAGACTGGCGTGCGGCTGCAGCGGGGATTCGCAGCACAGGGGTGACGGAATCCCTCAGAGAACCCCGCGGAGCATCCTGTGTCTTCACCCAACCAAGCACTGAGCATTGGTCACTGTCTCCTTGGCTTGGCTGCTTTTCACAGACACATCTGAGGACCTGCTCGCCAAATTTAGTGCAACCCTCAAGCCCTAGAAACAGTGACAGAGAGGAGAGATTTTTGCATTTATAAAGATACGAATCAAAGTGTCCATTTGTTAAGGTGGAAGAATGTTTAAAATTACTGTCGACTAGGGGTGGTGGCAGGAATATATGCAAGAAAAGTGGAAATAATTACGTCCTCTAAGATGCCCATCTGGCATTCTTCTGGGAAAATCAGTTTTTTTTCTAAAAAAAAAAAAAACCAACAAAAAACAAAAAGACAAGGGTAGTAACGCTGTGTCCATGTGCCTTCATGGTGGGGATGTTGATGGTGGGGAGGTTGTGTGTGGGGGGGGGTGGGATGTATGGGAATTCTACTTTCTGCTTAATTTTGCTGTGAACCTAAAACTGCCCTAAAAATAAGGTCTATTTTTATTTTTTTTTTAAAGACTATTATTGAGAGTGCACACGTGCATGGGGGGTAGAGGGTGGGGGAGAATCTCAAGCAGACTCCGACTGGGGGGCTGGATCTCACCACCCTGAGATCCTGATCTGAGCCGACATCAAGAGGCAGATGCTTAACCGCCTGAGCCACCCAGGCGCCCCCAAAATAAAGTCTATTATTAAAAACTAATTTAAAAAAAGATAGACAAAGGCGCCACATACTTTCTCAGGGCACTTCTTCCCAGTCGGTATTCCTCGGATTCCCGGTAGTAGGTCTGCTTGAGGATCTCGCGCTCCCAGAAGCGCTTGAGTTCGTGACAGGTGTTCCCGCAGAAGACCTCCCGGCGGACGTACTGCTTGTTCATCCCCTGGAAAAGGAGATGTCCGTCGAACCCCGTGGAACATGCCCCCTCAGACCCTGGAGGGTACAGACTCTGCGAACCCAACCCCTGCCATGTATTTGAGGCGGACCCTGGCCAGCCGCTGAGCCTCCCCCGGGGGATGACGTCACGGTCTCCCCGCCTGTTGCCAGGATACAGTGACGCCAACGCCACGCTCCCGCTAGGAGCTCAGCATCGTGTAGCCCCCCCCCCCCCCCCCCCGGCAAATACCTCTGACCTTCCTTCCTCCTCCCTTTCTCCCGTCTGAGAAGCACGAGCCTTCTCAACTTTCCATCAGCAGGGGTTGCCGGCCAGGCATTGGGCGCGGGCCGTTTCGTTATCCCTGCATCCCCCGTGAGGGGGCGTTCCCGTCCTCATTTTAGGGGTGAGACGTGTGAGGAGTTGCAGAACCTGCCTGTGGTCCCACGATGCAGAAGGCAGGCCGCATACTTCTGAATGTTTTCAAGCCCTTCGCTGAAGGGGTTTGTCACACGAAGTGGTCCCCGTGTCTGACGCACCGGGAGCGGGCCGCTTTGGGGCGCGCGTGTGGGTGCATGCGCTTTTGTAGGGGGCTCTACCTGTCAGACACTCAAGAACGCTCACTGTTTTACACGAAGAAACTGCGCAACTTCCAGACCTCAGTGGGTCCAGCGGACAGGCCAGAAGCAGGGACTGGAGGGGCGAGGGGTGCAGGGGGAGGAGCAGCGGGTTATTGAAATGTCCGGGGAGAAGCTGTGACCAGGGGGTGGAGGCCAGGTTAATGGAAAGTGGACGGGTTCACAGGGCATCTTGGGGGTGGCCAACTCCACCCGCCAAATGCGGATGAAGGGGTGCCGGTGGAGACTTCAGTGCCTGTGCACAGATGGAAAACAGCAGAGGAGGGGGCTCTGGGAGGGGCCTTGAGCAGTGCTGGGCAGGTTGAGCCGCCTGGGTGCTAACGTTGGGGGTGGGGGGTGGGGGTGGGGTGGGCGAATACTGGAGGGGCATCTTGGCCCAGGGTCTGGCGCTCAGCTGCAGGTCTGGACCACAGCTCCCTCACAGAGATCAATGGGGGGTGCTGGGGCGGAGTGGAAGGAGAGAGGGTGTCAAGCCGGACCTTCACTCTGGACGTGTTTGTCCATTTACTTGACACACCTTCTGCTTATCAATAAATTCTCCAGGCCTCCATTTTCTCAGCTTTAACCTTTCTCTGAAGGGGCGCCTGGGTGTCTCAGTTGGTTAAGAATCTGCCTTCGGCTCAGGTCAAGATCCCGGGGCCCTGGGATGGGCTCCCTGCTCAGTGGGGAGCCTGCTTTTCCCTCTCCCTCTGCCTCTCCCCCCGGCTTGGGCTCTTTCTCTCTCACTCACTCTCTCTCAAATAACTAAATAAAATCTTTAAAAAAAATTTCTCTCAAGATGTAATTTGATCATGAATGTGAAACTATTTAGCAATGTATAAATTTCTGAATAAATATAGCTTGTGTAGTTTGTAAACCTCAAATTGTACAGGGCATAATACTATAATTAACAGTGAGTAGTAATAACCTCCCCCAACTTTCTATAGAGATGAAATAATTCCATTTCTCCTTCCTTCTGGCTCAGCAGCTGTTGACCTTGGCTGCCCACTGGAATCTCTTGGGAAGCTTTGCAAAACCGGATGCCTGGGCTTCATCCCCCGGGAGTCTGATTTGAGCAGCCTGCGGTGTCACCCTGTCATCTGGGTTTTTGAAAGCTCCCCCTGTGTAGTCAAGGTGAGAACTGCCATCTTGGACTGTGTCCTCTCGTGCGGTGGTCACGTCTGTGTCCAGTGTTGGTTCCAAGGAAGCTGAGGGGATGAGGGCTGGGCATAGAGGCCTAGCGATGTCATGGTCACAGCCATCTTTGCAAAGTGGGCACTATTTTCCCATTTTGCAGATAAGAAAACTGAGGCTTGGAGGTAGCAGTTTGACTTGATCAAAGTCATTTAGATGGTAAGTGGGGCCGCTGTCACTCTCAGGGCCCAGGCTCCATCCCCTGCCCCTAACTGTTCCCTGCGGAGGAGAAGAGTGACTTTCTTACCTGCTGGAAGTGCTCAGTGATCTCGTACATTCCTGGCAAAATAGCCCAGAGCTCACTGACTGCAGCCAGCCCCCCAGCCCAGAGCAGAATTTTTCAGAAATGAGGATATTCCCTGTTTTATTTCAATGTCCTAAGTGTTTTGCGGTTCTCAATAAATACCTGTTGAATTGAATAACTCCCTCCTCCTGCCACCCAGTTATCTTTATCCAGAAGGGCTGGCCTGGGAGTGGCGGTGGTCCCTCTGCAAGGCTTCAGGCATTGAGGGAAAGTGTGTAGGGACGTGGGAGGGACACTCCCATGTCACCTTGCCCGCCCACTGGCCCTGGAGGACCTGGCCAGTGCAGGACGCTGGTAGCGCATGTTTCGGGGACGGCTGGGTGTGCAAAGGAAAGAACTCTCTGATCCTGATCATTTTGAGTTCATATGAAGTTTCTGGCATTCAGGGGAGAGTCACTTTGGGGAGGTAAATGCTCATTAGATTTTTCTTTCCCTACAAAATTTGGAGGGCTCATTTTTACTCTGAAGTTTGGTTTTTTTTTTGGTTTGTTTTTGTTTTACTTATTTAGGAAAATAGAAGCCTGAGCCTGAACATGAACTGTGTCCAATTTCGGGGAACTTTACAACCGCTCGCCCAGGTGCACTAGCTGTGTTCGGGTCCGGGGGCTGACCGAGCTACAGACATAGGAGCCAGGTTGAGAGAATTGCTGAAAACAAGGGAGGCCTCCCACCAAGCGCACGATCACCTTGAGGCCAGACTGGTGGAATGCAGGCAGCAAGCGGGAGAAACCCCTCATACTCCTCCTGCTCCAGGCCCCTTTTGGGCTGAGCTTCTGGGGCTCCAGACCAGGCGAGAGTCACCAAGAGCAGAGGAGGTTAAGGCAGAATCACAGACCCAACGCCTCGGGGCCAGGCACGCATCATTGGGGAGTGAAGCACTTGCACCCGGTAGGGAGCCGGGCTGCAGACACCACGGAGTCCATTCCTGCCCTATCCTTGAGCATCAGAATACATTTTCTTGGATCCTGCTGGCCAGAGGAAAGAAATCGGGCCCGTTTGCAGCCATGAATGTAATGTACCCAATACCTCTCTTACAGATGTATTCCCAACGTGTGCCCCAGGACTGGCCTCCCAAACCGGCTGCAAATGCCCATCTGCGCTTCCCAGCCCTCCTCAGGGTGCCCTGTGCTCTCCAGCTCTCTCTCTTTTTGCTACAGAGAGACTCAGGGTCTGTCTGGGCCTCTCCCTTCCCCAAGCCACACCCTGGGCCTGGTTTGCTGGTCTTCTGTCATCCTGTCCTGGCAGCTCCAGGAATTGGATATTTCATGAAATCTCATCTTGCCTACAGCAGTTACGCAGATGAACCTGCCCAGCCTGATTAACGCAGTGTGCTCCCTGCTCACCCTGGGGACCAGATTCACATCACGACAAGCAGGAGGGTAAGAGAGAGGAGAATGGGCAACCTGCTGGGGTCACCCCGGAGCTTCGGGATTCTCTTTAATGTGTTCTGCCCCTCCGTTCTATCATCTGTGAAATGGGATTGTCAGGAAGATTAAATCAGATCATGTTCACGAAAATGCCTAACGCAAACGTGTGTCAGGCATCATGCTGTCTGCTGGACGCTGGTGAACCCAGTCCTCTGATTTTCTCAAACTGTTTTCTGGCATAGGGACATCATTAGCCACAGCTAATAGAGTATAACTGACAACCCTAAATTAAGTGTTGCTTTTCCTTATTTGTACATAATTTTGAATGTTTGGCTTCTCGAGTCTGTGGCCGAGATTCATTTAGCTTTGTCCCTGGTCTGTTGGGCACTATTTAGGAACACTTAGAAGACAAAGCAGAAGCTTTTCAGGTTTTAAGATTGGACAATGTCCCATATAGGATCATGCTCAGTGGAGCATTTGATAAAAGCTTCTGATCGGTGTTATTCTTTTTTTTTTTTCTTAAGATTTATTTATTTGCGAGAGAGAGACAGAGAGAGAGAGAGCACACGTGGGAGGGGCAGAGGGAGAAGGAGAGAGAATCTTAAGCAGATGCTGCACTGCGTGTGGAGCCTGACATTGTGCTCGATCCCACAGCCCATGAGATCGGGACCTGAGCTGAAACCGAAAATCGGATACTCAACAGACTGAGCCACCCAGGCGCCCCTGATTGGTGCCATTCTTACATCCTTTCGCCTCTGACACATCAGAGATGAGCCTCACCACACCCATTCATTGGGAGGTGCCCACATGGGTAAGAAGGAAGATGCGTGTTTTCCCAAGGAGGTGTGGAGTTCCCACTGGGGTGAAGGCTGGTGTCTGCCTCCACCCCCATCTGCACTGTGTTCTTTCACAACCTGGAAAATGCCGATGGCACAATGGTGAAAACAAGCAAGATCTACTCTAAGGAAAAAATGCATTTTGCTGTTTGACAAATTACCTCATCTTCTTCCCAACTTGTTCTAGTCATTGTCCCCAGTTTGACCAGAACTGGTAGCAGCTGCTGTCCCCAGTTGTTTAGCATCAAGGAAACAAAATTAATGACAACCTTTATGAAAACATAAAAGTAAAAGAGGAAAGAGGGAGTTAAAGATATCTGGGACTCCTAGGGGTGCTTGGGTGGCTCAGTAGGTTAAGCAGCTGACTCTTGGTTTTGGTCCAGGCCATGATCTCAAGGTTGTGGGATCAAGCACCACATCAGGCTCTGTGCTCAGCTCGGAGTCTGCTTGAGATTCTCTCTCTCTCTCCCTCTCCTTCTGCCCCCCCCCCTCATTCTCTCTCTCTCTCAAATAAATAAAATTTTTAAAAGATTTTATTTATTTATTTGAGAGAAAGAGAGACAGAGAGCCTGAGAGAGAGCATGAGCAGGGGGGAGGGGCAGAGGGAGAGGGAGAGGCAGACTCCTCACTGAGCAGGGAGACCGATGTAGGACTCAATCCCAGGACCCTGAGATCATGACCTGAGCCGAAGGCAGAGGCTTAACCATCTGAGCCATCCAGGAGCCCCTAAAATAAATAAAATTTTAAAAAAGATACATGGAACTCCTAAGCCCCCAACCCCCAAGGGCTGATACCAGGCTAATACAGGGTCCCCCTCAGGTGATTCAGGTGTAACAGGGAATGAGCGGGGCAGACTCATCACATGGCACTACCTGTGACAGGAACTGGGTTGGGGGGTGGGACACAAGAAGAGTCACCTCACCTGTTCTGAGGGGTTCAGTCACCTGACCTGGTCTCAGGGGAAGGGACCTGCAGGATGAGTGAGTGGGAGCACCCAGGGCACAGGAAGCAGAGACGCTGCAGGGGCCTGTGATAAGAGCCCTGCAGAAGCGGGGTGGGGTGGGGTGGTGGCCTGGGGTGGGGGTGGGGGAGGGGACTGACTGCAAAGGGGCACTGGGACTTTCTAGGGTCATGGAAATGTTCTACATCCTGTTTCGAGAGACGGTTTGCCAAAACGAATCTAACTGTACACTGAAATCGGGTGAATTTTATTCATGTAAGTGATATCTCAATAAAAGCAGAGAAGAACTGTCTTCTGTCTTTGGGCCAGAGAGAGATTCATCCAATTTCCCTGGTTCTAAGCTCTCAGGAGACTCTGCCAGAGCCTCAGTGTGGGGGTTAGCCCATTCCTCTGCAGGTAACAGGTGTTTCTGTGAGCATTGGTGTTTCGGGTTCCTGGCTCCTAAAATGAAGACAATTACTTCACTTTGCAGAAACATGACGAGGAAGATGTCAATAGTTGGAATGGCCTTTGGAAACACAGGGGACTGTCCTTGACAAACAAATGGCTCTATTCTCTCCATCCCTTCGACCAAGAACACCAGCTACCGGTGCCCTCCCATCGACAGAATCCATAGCGCTACCTCGGACCCATCACCACCAACTGGGAAAAGCCGTAACTCCCGTGACAATGAGGAACTTAACTTCACAAAATCAATTCATGCTTAAAGAGAAAGGCAGTACAGACCACCTTCACAGCAGGCCAGTTAGACAGACTGGGTTGAACTTTGACCCTCTGTGAGGCTTCTGTGCTGCACGAAGGGCCAACTAATGGTAGTGAGTCCACTAAAACAGGCACACTTGTCCCCCATGAGCCCTGATGCTGGGCAAACCATCTAATTTTCCAGCTCTCAGGTTACTCAGAGGATTGAACCCAAATTGGGGGATGTGAGCTCTTTTTTTTTTAAAGAATTTTGGCTTAGACTGACCATTCTTGTGACCCTTGGCTGGAGTGGCTCATTATAACCCAGCCAACCCTACGTGCCGCCAGCCTTGCACATCCAACACCTCATAAAAGCAGCTATTTTGTGATGATTTTCCACAACGTTCCAAAAAGCTTCGTGGAGATCATGGCTTAAAATAGAACAGAGGGTTCCGGTTCCAGATAAATGGAGGAAGCACGCTCTACCCACTGTCTCTCCAAAGAAGGCAGGTCCAAAGACTGGACCAAGGCACAGGGCGGCTGATTGAGGACTCCAAAAAAGTAAACAGTCACAGGTGGGTTGGAGAAGATCAGAATCCCTATCGCCACTGAATGGTGGTGCTGAGTTTCCCATTTTTACTCTGGGATCCTCAGTTCAGACTCAAGGCAGGGGGGTACCCAGAAGCATCACACAACCAGAGAGAGCTAGAAGTTCATGGCCCCCGACTTCTAGGGAGAAAGGAGAGTCGTAATGCTTAGGGAACGAGGAAAATCATGTGATTTTTCTTTCTCTGGTGTCTCTGGTCTCTAGGAAGTTCGGACGTGAGGGAGGTTGGAATTGACCCCATGGCAGTAGCCAGGCTGCAGAGATGCAAAATTTTTCTTCTTCAGTGGCCCTTGCCCTTGACCCCGGATGTGAATGCAGCACTGGAAGCACTCAACAGACCAGGTAACCAAAGCCCTGTCTTCTGGCCGAAGGACTGCAAAGGGGAGTTCAGGGAACTGGAAATTACCAGGGATAGATACTATGGAAGGGGCGGACCTTGGGAATGAGACCCCTAGAAGTGCTTACAGATGCCTAAGCTGTCCTCTGGGCTGCACGTGCGCGGACCTGACCCAGACAGGGAGAGAGTAGAGAAAAAATCAGCACAGATTTAGAAAAAAATTGAACAACATCACCAGCCAGCAAGATCAAAGTGTAATTTATAAATCTCTCCACCCAATGATGGCAGAATACAGATTCTTTTCTAGTGCTCGTGAAGCAAATCACGGAAAGAATTCCTAGAACTAATTCCTAGCAAGGGTGCAGGACATGAGATCGATACATAAAAATTAGTAGAAGGTAGCAATGAACACCTGGAAACTGAGATTAAAAACACAGCACCATTTACAATAACTCCCTCAAACGAAATACTTAGATACATATGTAACACAACATACAAAATATGTTTGCTAAAA